AAATTTAATTATACTTTCTTGTTCATATATAACACATTAGGTATATATTACCCTAAAAGGAATCTCATATTCTTTTAGTAGGTTGTAGGATAGAGTATTAATATCTTAATAGGGCAAGTCCAGAATAATTTAACGTGATTTCCTGCCGTGTAGACTTAACATCACGGTGTTCTTCACAGACGTATCGGTATATTGCGCCGATGAACGCCCCATTGAAACTTCAGGGAACTCCACCAGTGCCAATAAATAAATGTGTATAAGACATAACTTCCACCTTGGTTTGTTGCGAGGCCCATCTAAACCGATAGTGAATACGCAACTCCACACCGAATTAATAAATATTCTCCTCTCGTAAGTTTGGGTATTAAACACAGCTACTGAACCCCGTTTCGTTGCGAGCTACTGAACCCCGTAATACTAGTTATTGCCATCTCTGGTCAAATGTCGCAGGCTGGGACAACACCTACTACCATGCACACTTCTTATACAAGTGTCGGCATGGCACCGGGATTTTAGTCGCCTCTTACGACAGACATGCCTACCGCTGGAATATTCTAACCCCTTCACTGCAAGTGGATCTTAATAGGGCAGTGGTTTATTCAAAGTTCATATCGTCAAAGTGGTTTTGGTTTGTGGTGCTATCCACCGCTTGTATACGCTATGGGACTAGGTGTTTTATTTTAAAATTATTGTACCTTCATTGTGCTCAAAAAAAAAAATGAAATACAAAACGGTTTTAATGTATATATTTTTTTTTGCTTTTTCCAAACCGTAGCTTTTAGTTTTCTTTATTCAACCAATTTTTAACGGTGCGATGGTGAGAGTTCAAGGTAAACACACTTTCCGGTAACAATAAGTATCTTTTTTTACCATTATACAAATTATAGAATTGAAGTTACGTGCAGAAAAATACCGCAACACATACAAAAGATGAAAGTCACACAACTTTTGTTGCTGAATAAAAAATCAATTTAGGCCCGGCGCCAGTCCGCCAGTCTGCCAGTCCGACGTTGTCTGCATCTTTATTGTTTACGTGTTGAGCGGATTTGGTTTCAACTTTTTTGTTTATTGGCAAAAATTGTGGGCAAAACGAAATCGAGTGCATTTCGTGAAATAGGAAAATTCTAAATAGAAAATCACAGAATAATTTATTAAATAATTTTTCATAATTTTCAAATATTGTTGGCCTGTTTTTTGATTTACACAAAATGTGCAAATGCTTAAAAATTGCCCGCACACCTTGGCGTATACGTAACGTGAAAATGAAAATTAACTACGCAGCAATTTTCAAACTTTGTGATGATTTCCTTATGACTACGTTTCCATGGAAATTGGAAAAGAAAGCCTACAGCATGCAAGCCATAATTTTTCTTCATTGTTAAAATATGAAGTTTGCTTATTTGAAATACGAGTGTGATTACAGTTATGAAGTTTTTCTCATTTCCTTCCGTTTCAAATATTTTGCTTCATTGCGCCTTTTTTAACGTTTCTTACGTGACTGTCGTTCTCTGATGTTAGTACTTTTTTGCTTCACTGGAAAGTTATAAATTTTACTCTATTTCTTCTCATGTGTAAACAAAGTTGGCCCATATGTTCAGAACAAGTAAACAAGATGTATTGGGTTAAAGGAACATTACAACACATTCAGTAAAATGGTGCAGTAGAAATAGATTTAATCCTTTTATGCCTTTCTATTTTAAAGAAGATTAAATGATTATGATTGTTAGTCAAACTTTAATTTTGTTCTAACTTCAAATTTATTTTTTTCATTTTGAAAAAGATACTGCTGATATAAACCTAATCATATTCTATTGCTGCAATTTAAATAACAATAAAATTAAAAACAAAATTTAAATATTTTCTTAATACCCTTTCAAAAAAACTTACTTAATATTTTATAAAAATGAGAGAAAGACGTTACTTTTTCTTCAATTTATTGATATTTCAACATAAAAATTTGTAGCTGAAATAATACGTAAGTATCTCTATTCCCCACAGTGGCGAAGTGAGACTTTAACACGTAGGGTGTCATAATAATTTTGAAGTATATAGCATAAATATGTTCTTAAATGAATGGCCAGTTCCTTATTTTTATTATTATGTTGAGGCTAGTTGAGTCAATGCACTTGAGCACTTTTACTTTCTATTAACAGCGAGGTTTCTGCATAACCCCACTCTACGGATTACTATTTATCACTCCATCAGACTAAGCAATAATTGTCCTCAGATCTGCATATTCCCCGAGGAGACTCGGGGACCATTATACTTAGTTTACTTTAAAATTAGTTCTACTGTTAACTCACAAATAAATAAAATACATTCAATATAGATACATTACTTATTAAAGCGCTTTAAATTTATAAATAGATTTAACTAGCTTGCTAGAGTCTATCAAAGTTCTTTCAACAACATTCAATAACTTTACCATAACCCCTAAGTTACTACTGTAGAAGATATTAGGTATACTATTGCTCACGTATAGTTACGAATCGTCGGTTCTCAGTAAATAGCTCTTTGACTCTCTAGCGGCGATCGAGAAAAAAGGTTTGCAGAGAATGTTGATCCCTTATATAAAACAATATGATTTCGGACACTAACCACTACCAACAGTTTGGAAAAGTACATCTAAATCTAGTTAGAAGCATATATAGTGATATAAATAAAATTAAGTAGGCTAGAACGAGCGGGCACCTAGCTCACATAAGTAAATCCGTTTATGTTACGTTTCATGATAAAGGCCTGTAAAGTATATCTGTGTCGAAGCATAATGTAGACCAAGATGATCAAGGTGTAAGTAAAGTATGTAGACTGGCAATCGAAATCGATGGAGAGAATCTCTCCATAGATTTTGCAGTTCAATAATTCATGAATTTCGAAAAAGTTAATATGCATGTAATTTAGTGGAAATGGTTTAAAATCTTTTGCTAAATTTAAATGTGAATTTAACTATTTAATTAATAGATGTGGTATTTTATATTTTAGAAATTTCCATTTGGGTTAGACTTGATAACAAAAATAAAATCTGCTTGAAATGGAAATTTTAGATATATGAGCTAATAATGCTTTTGTCAGGTTATGTTCCCAATTTAGACGATATAAGCTTGACGTTATTAGAATGCTAAAGTTTATTTAAGCGAAAAATTCTTTGTAATTGTGTTTTAACAATGTGTGCAAGACTAAATGCAAGTGTCTACTATATGCTCAGCCCTGATCTTCATTTTATCATTATAGTAAAACGACTCGATGGATGTCTATTTTCTTTAGCATATATCCGTCTGCAACATTGCTACAATCGCCCTTCTATTTTTCTTTCCCTTACTGTATAGCTTGCATTACTTTTTCTCTGTCTTCTGAGGATAAGGATTGTTTTTTCTTGAGTATAGTAAGCCACCTACACAATAAAGTAACACTCCATAACATAATATCCGATGTTTCTTATAAAAACCATTTCACTAATTCGTTTATTTTTCCTCTAGACTACTAGGGAAGATGATATTTTTTAGATATATACTTAAAATCTTTTCAAAACGTTAACTTGAAAGGTGTGGGTTGTGGGTACAGTTGGTTTTGTGGGTTGAAATGTCACATTGAGGTCTTGGGCACATTCCATCTACAAAAATAAATAACACCGGCGAACTCAAATTGCTTTGACGGCAACTCTTTATTTGTATTGCGGTAGTCACTTAAGAGTAACACTAACGTACCACTAAACTTTCAATTTATTTCAAATTAGAAATTTGCTTGGGGCAAATAAATTCCTAATTGAAATCCGTACATATGCAGTATCAATCTGTAAATGTGTGGTTTTTGTTTTAATTGCTTCTTATGAACTGTGCATGAGGCATCATAAAACGACGTGAATCTATGGTAAATACATTTCAATGTTTAAAAAACACATTTTTTTATTTCGTATTAGAAATCGTTTCATTAAATAATTTGAATAGCTTGAGTTTCTTAGTTCTTTTATATTGCGAATTTTTTTTTTTTATATTAAATACTTTTCTGCTTAATAAACTTAATCTATACAAAGAAATGACTGGCCATTAAGTTGGTATTATTTTATGCGAAATGTTTTGAAAACGTTTTGGGAAAGGTGTTTCACCAAGGTGAATTTAACCATAAAGTTGCTTAAATCTGTTGTTTATTGCCTTCTTAGTTCATCAGTATTTTTTGGAATAATTTCCACAATTAGAAAAAAAACATGATTCTTTTTGTTATTTCTGAATGTATTATTCTGATTATTCCTATATAATTTATATTATAAAATATGTTATTGGTTTATTTCATCTGACTTTTGAATATACCATAAATGTGCTAATGGCTGTAATATTGTAATTAGCTCTAATAATTATTGATTTACTTTGTGTGGATATACACAATATAGAACATCACAAATAACTTATGTGAACGGGAGAAACAAAATCTATTTGAACACTGGAAAGCTGAAACAGGTACGCGGCAGTCAAAAAGATTCACCGATTCTGAACACATGAAAGTTGACGCTAACGATATTAAAATCTACACTGAACTTCTTACAGGACACTGTAGACTTAATTACCACGTAAAGAATGTAGGTGCGAATATTTCTATCGACTCAATCATGACATAACCTATGCAACTGCCGAGCGGCGGCAAGACGTAGAATCGATTACCCTGGAAGTGAGATCTTAGTCCCAAAGCAAATAGGAAAAATTAAGCCCACAGCCATTACGAGATTTATAAATAGTCTACAATTGTTTTAGTTGGGCCTTTAGGCGCACAATAGATTTTTTAGAACGGTGTGCATTATTCAAAGTATATTATTTAATAATAATAATTATATAGAACATGATGTAGCAGAATTTGTTGGTTATTATGACAGCGAAATTTTAATGCACTACTATTAATGCCTACTATTATAATAACATAAAATATACTAACTAATGTTGTATACGTTATGTTGTATACATAATAATTTTTTATAAATTTTATATAATTATATTATGTTATATTATATTACGTTTTCGATTGTTTGACAAATTTGTTGTTTATTACACTTTCTACTTATGGGTGATACTTAAGGATTAATTCTATTCAGCATACATTGCATCATCATAACTTTGAAGTGTTATATCACGACTATTATCTTCAATCCAAAATATTGCTTTGCGATATTTCCATTTTCTTATAACAGGCAAAACAGCATAGCCTTTGCCTTGCAATAAATTTAAGAATGGCTTAAAAATTTCCTCCGACTTTAATTTTGCAAACACATATATTGTTCTTTTATGCATTTCAAAATCACCCAGTTGTAGAAAAACAGTTTTAGTTGCCTCAAATATAACCCCAGCTTTCTCGAACTGTTGATGTTGCCATAGAATTTTGCCAAACTCAAGTAATGCTTTCCCATGTAAATGCGAAAAATTGAATTTCTTCATTAGTAGTAGGCATTCCTCAAACTTTTCTTCATAACTTTCAAGTTTATCTAATCTAAAAATAAACAAATAAATTTTGAAAAATAGTTCATACAATTTAGCAAAAGTACATACTCTCCGTCGCAGATTGCATCGTATAAACTTATCTTACAGAATAGTATTTTAACTTGATCTGTATCTTCATCGTTGATTGTTTTTGGGAAATAAGGTTTCATATTTGTAATATGGGTAAATGCGGTTTCAAAGTCCCTGTTACCTAATAAAATTTCTACGAGTGTTAAACGTGCGTCCAAAAAAAGATATAAGTTGTTTTTTATGCCTCCTGCAATAGCATTTTATATAATTATTTATTTATACCATGAGATCAACATTTTTGAAAAAATCTTACTCTCTGCTATTGTTAATATTGCTTTTCTTGCATAATCAATCGCTTCTTCGGAATTTGTTTTCTGCACCACTTTACTGTATTTAATTAACATTATAGTTAAACGTTCCCCCGTTGCCTGGTGTAATGTGTAACGCTCACTCAAACCTATTGATCCCTCAGTTCCCCAATCTTGTGACCTTGTCAACATTTCTGTCTTTTCAAAATATTGAATTGCAGTTAGGTCCCCTCTACCTAAAATAAGAATTTATTGTATTAAATGATTATAAGAAATTTCATATTACCTGTATCCTGTAAAAACTTGGCAAGCGAGAAGTAAATACGTGCTATACTCTCGATCCCTTCAAAATATACGTGAACGTTATCCACAATTGTACAAAGTTGATCTTTATTTGATTTTGCATTGGCAATATATTTATCGCAGTGCTCCGCTATAAAGAGAAATGATTCGCCTACTATTACCTCATGTGAACGTTCATACGGTTCTAGTAATTTAATGGTGCAATACAGTAAATGAAAGCATTCACTATATGAGCCACAAAGTTCCTTTACACTTAGCTCTTCAGCGGCTTTGATGTTATTAAATATTTTAACTAAAAGTTCCTCATTTCTGATTAAAGGTGAATATGTATTTATTTTTTTAAGTAATTCCTTTTCCTTTCTAATAATCGCCTCGAAACCGCTAGCACACTTTGTGCAGCCCGACTCATATAGTTCGATTAAGAGAGCTTGAGCAAGTGGCACCACCTTACGTCTAGCTTCAACATATGTCAAAGGCTTGACATTGGCTAAGATTTTCTGCTTATCTAAATGGGTGTATGCAGACTTAGTGTTTGAATACATTTTGCCAAAAATTGCTTTCGTTACAAAAGTATAAAAATAAAAACGCGTATAAAAATAGCAAAAATGCAAATGTATAAAAATACAAATAAGTAAACAAAATAAAAAAGTGGAAACAATATTAAAAAAAATAAATAAAAAATACTAATTAATTAATAATATTATATACAGTAAACAATTTGACATTTTTTTATTAAAACTCACAGGTTACTTTTTAATTAATTGAATTATTGGCTGACCATACAGCTGTTTCGAGTATTGCCAAATAGCCATCATCAGTGGTCTTGGAAATAATTTCTGTATTTAATTATTCGTAAATAATTTTTTTTTGAGACTACAAGTACCAAGAATCGAACTCGTGCCCTGCCAAATTTGAAGTTTAGAGTCAGCGCTCCTTAACCAATTGATCCAAAGCTGCACTTGAATTTTATGTTCGCACATTTTTCTGGAGTTTTGTTGTGAAAGTTTTATTAACAAATTCACTTGTTGTGTTTATATTAGAATGAAATCATAAACCAGCTATAGAATAATTCCATTAATTATTAATATATTTTTATATATAATTGTTAAATTTCAATACTATTCTGTTTGTTTTTTATTATTATTAATAAATACATTTCTATACAATAAATGGTATACTTTCGCTGGTTTCCTTCACTTTCGTTAGAAGCGGACAGTTTCTCTATTTTTAAGGCAGTGCACGTGGCTCGAACGTCAAACATGTTGTGTTTATGTTCGTTGCTTCGAGCAGCTGATTTTTAATCATAAACAAATTTCACACTTTTCCTTACAACGTCATCGTTAGGCGAGGCGGCGGGTACAAAAATTTGCTTGAATCTGTTAAACGGAAAATTTCGTGCAAAAGATTTTCTCAGTCAATGCGTTGACATCGTTGCGTGCAGAAGCATTTGCCGCGAAGAAAAACGCGTAGAAGTAAGGAAAACTGCGGTGTGCGGTCAATATTCGGCGTGTTTCCATGAAGACTAACGCAACGAGTTGTGGGATAAAATTCATATAATTCTACTAAATTAAAAAAAAAACAATTAACATCAATTAAAAAAATTTCTAAAAGTTAATTATAAAAATTTAAAATAATTAAATTTAATTTATAATAAAATATATTTATATTTAATATAGTCTTCTATTCATTTCACATATACAGCTTTCTATATACATATATAAAAATTAAACTAATGCAAAATAAAATAATAAAAGAATAAAAATATATTACTAAAAATTTAATTTAAATAAAGTACTTAATGTAATAAAATTGTGTACAAAATAAAAATAAATTTAATAAAAAAGTTAAATATTTGAACGAATTAAATCGATATAATCATATGCTACAGCGTTCAGCAATTTTACTAAGTTATGGCGTTTAGATTAATAGTTTTGTTACTCATACGACATGGCAAGAATTTTGTAGAAAATTTATAAAAATATCAATCAGTAAAAAAAAATGATAAATGATAATAAAACGTGAAACGTGAAGTAAGATATTTACACAAGGAAGGGCTTCAGAAATAATTTTCTGTCATATCAAAAGTGTGCAAATCCAATGAGATCCGCGGAAATAAGTTACTAATTTAATGTTAACAAATTTAATAATATAAATTAAAATATTGCTAAAGCAACAACAATGTTAGAATTTGATTCTTCAGATGAAGCCAATACTGAGCTTTTAGAGAAACTAAAACATTTAGATGTACGCCCAGAAACAGTGGAGAGTGGTGGCATTTGTGGTAAAAGTTGTTGGAAATCATTAAAATGGAAGTCTGCGCTAGGTCATGTAGGTCTGTTGGTCTCATTATCAATATATTGTGGTGTAGGGGGCTTGGTAAGTTTGTTAAATAAATTAATTAAAATTATTTTTAAATTAATATGTAATAGTGTAAAAGTATGTGTTTTAAAAATTCGCTGCTTCACTTTATTGTAATTAGGTTGAAGGTCTTTTGACTTTGTATAGTTCTATAACATATATTGGTTCTATACAATATAAAAACAACTATTTAATAATATATAATATCATAAACCAATTTACTCAATTGCAATCAACTATTGCTATAAATCTGGAGAATTCAATTTTTTTTGTATAGTAATTTGTGCTGAAGAGTGTTAAGAGTCTCTACGTTTGTATTGGATATTCATAGATAAATATTATTAAAGAGCAGTTTATCTGAAATGGTTATTCTCTTTTTTAAAATATTAAATCTATTTCATTTGGAATGGTTATTCTCTTCAAAAGATCATAGAACATAAAATGAAAATGATAAAGAATTTCTTTCTTTTTGGTAGGATGCAACTATAATAAAGAATATTATAAGGGGTGTTCGTTTTAATAATGTGCTACCCAACAGGCCAGAAATCAGTTATGACTACCTTTACTCTGAGCACATTACTTGTATATCTGCTTATCAGCAATAATATTTGTTTAAGATTATCTTTAGGTCGAAAAGTTTCAAAAAATATTTGAAAATTTCAAGTATTTCAAAAAATATCGACTGTTTACTGCTTTGAGAAACTTAACCGCGTCTGCAATTGTGATGATTAAACTGCTGTTCACTTACACGAATTTTACAAGCGAAAAACAGTTGACGAATTTTTCTTTAGCAGTAAACGAAATAATTTTTAGAGAGAAATTGTCATATAAAAGAATTATATTAACATTTCCAAAAGACCTACAGTTCACTTGTAGTATTATTGCCCAACTAAGTAAGTAAGTAATACATATAAGTGTATTACTTACTTACTTAGTTGGGCATTACAGACGTGAGTCGTCCTTCGTCGCGTCGATTAGCCTCCGCCAGTCAGCTCGATTAGTAGCTTGCTGTCGCCAGTTGGTATTACCGAGTGTCCCAAATCGTTAGTCACCTAGTCCATTCACCGAAGATGCGAACGTCCTCTACTGCGGTTTCCATCTGCGGGTACCAAATCAAACACCCTTCTAGCCAGAGCACTTTCTTCCAATCGCACGACATGACAGAGCCAGCGAAGCCGCTGAATGTATAAGTGTACTAATAGTATTAATAAAATTAAAATTGTTGGTTACACATTTCGATATACTATATATTTGGCATTTCAATTTTAAAATTTTCTTGCTTGCTTTGCAATATTTTAGTATTATTTAGAATTTGTCTAAAAATTTTGTTTTTAGTATTACATAAACCACTTGCAATATCACAGTTTTATAAGCTTTTATAATAGACAGATTTATATTAAAATAGTTTCAGTTATATTTGTTGTAAAATTATTCGTTAAAATTTCAAACGATTTTTTTTGCTAATAATTTCATCTGCTTAAATTTAGTACTTGAAATCCTTTGTAAGATAACATAACTTGAAAGATCAGCCGGTCGATAATGTTTCTAACATAGCGATCTAACATAACATTGCACTGTTAAGGCAAGCTTGGCATATAACATTTTCCAGACTCACTAAATAACAGCGTTCATTTGTTTCTTTATATTTATTTATGATAAGAGTAAGAGATTTTTAATTTATATCTTATATTTCAAATAATAATATTTTATTAACTTATATTTGTTATTTTTATACTTCACTATTTTCCGAAAAACCTCTTTATTAACTCATACCATTTTAAAATTTATTATTATAACTTATTATTATAAGTATTGCTTTAGTCTGTCTGAACGTCTATTACAATATAAAATTCTAATCATCCACAGCTGTTCTAAATTACTTGTTCACTTCAAGGAATATTATTTAATATTATTTTTATTATTTTTGCAATATATTTTTATCCGATTTAATAAAAAAATTTAATAACCAAATGTTTTCACTCAAAATAAATTCTACTAATTACATCCACAATATAAAGCAAGTGATGAATGTTTTTTAATTTAATTTTATTGTGTTCTATTTATGATTTCAAAAGCGGTCAAAGACATTGGGCTGCCTGCTTCAAGACGAGTTAATCTTGTTAAAGTGCTAAAATGATTAATTTGCAGTTCATTTGTTCTATTTTTTTTTTTTTGATGTACACAAATCAATCGCACGTCAAAACAAGCAAACGATTTTCATATGAAAGTTCATATAATAATTTAATTTTAAGTGCAAACAAATTTTATTTCAAAAATATAAAAATCACGTTTAGTATAAGGAAATTTAGTTTTAAGAATTTTACCAGATGTTAACATGCAGCTAGGCATATAGCTAAGCATATGAAAATATACTCTCAGGAATTAAAGTAGTCAAAATACAAAAAAAAAAATCGAAATGTTTATTTTGCTAAGTTGAAGGACTTTCTCAAATAATTATCCATGTCATTAAATTTTGTTACTTTTTCAAATCAAAGAAATTCTTTATTTTATAATAAAAAGAAGGTTGTGTATCTAAAAAAAATTTAGATAGTTCTGAATATTTTGTGCATAAAATTTAAATGCGGTAAATGTGTACAAATGATTTTAAATGCCACGATTAATTGTTTTTTTTTTGTTTTTTTAAGTGAATTTGAAGTTAATATAATTAATAAACATAAATTGATATTATTTCGTCTTATTAAAAAATTTATTTTCATACTACTAGTATATTATGTTGAGGCTAATTGAGTCAGTGCACATTTACTCTTTATTAACAGCGACGTTTCTTCATAACCTCTCTATACGCCTTGACTACTCCTTATTGTTTAACACCTCATCAGATTAAGCAAAAATTGACCCCAGATCTACATACCTCCCTGAGGCGCCTGTAACCGTTCTGAGATTCGACAACGCGGTGCTGGTAAGCCTGCTCTATCCTTTATGTATTTTTTGATTGGATCCATCTTAAGGTCCCTGTGGATGTCATTTGTTCTAATGTACCATGGTACCTTGGAAAGTCTTCTCAGACCCTAGCTTTGTGCAATGTTTAGCTGGCGTATTATAGTGTTTGAGGCTTTGCTAAACACTACACATCCATATAGAAGTGACGGTCGAATTATTTGGTTATCCTATTCTTTTTATTGAGATTTTCATATTTGCATAGTAGTTGGAGGTGATGAAGAATTTTGGCACATATGTATAATTCTTTTCAATTGAACATGTTTAAACCATGTGAATCGTTTGTTCACCGTGACGCCTAGATATTTAA